TAGTTATCTGATGGCCATCACCATCATCTGCTCCGTCTTGGTTATCACTGACGCGTACCTGGCGATTTGGTTCTCAATCAAACGCAGTAACCGGTTTCGTAGCAATACTTGCAGGTCCATGGAACAAGACAGAAAACTTGCCAAAACTCTTTTTATCGTGACAGCCTTTTCAGTTTTTACCTGTCTGCCTTCTGGTATATCAGTCTTGCTCTTAGAGACTACCTCCAAAATATGTACTCATTCAGGGTACAAATCACTTTTGTAGCACAGTACGCAAATTCGTTTCTGAATCCAGTTATTTACTGTTTCAAGATACCTGAGTTTCAAGCATCGCTTAAGAAGCTTCTCTGTAGTTGTCAAAGGCAACGGCTCCCGTTTAATGAAGATGCAGAGGCAACGAGTGTAGTTACTTTGAGATCCTTGAAGAGTATCGAGGCATCACTGCCTGAACAAAAATCTTCGTAGTTGTAGTTGCTCAAGGCAACGGCTCCCGTTTAATGAAGATACAGAGGCAACGAGTGTAGTTGCTTTGAGAGCCTTGAAGAGTATCGAGGCACTGACTGAACAAAAATTGTTGCCAGGCTGAATCCAGTTCTGTTGATCTAATCAACATCCCAGTTCTTGATCCAGTCATCATATGAATCACTGAGTCTTGATTTCAAGAGCGGAAGTGATTTAGATCAAAGTTTTGTTTTCTATGAATTCAGTAATTGTTGACTTGCCCCACAGAAAACGTACCAGTAATCCTTTAAGGCTGACGAGACTTTCTTATTTAAAAGTGCCGCTTCATACCGGGTGCTTCCTCAGTTGACTCATCAAAACTAAGGTTTCAGTCTCGGTCAACCCAGGTTTCATTGCTGGTTATACAAGGTTTTCAGTTTTCTCACGTTTTTTTGCGAAGATGAAGTTGAAGGTTAACTACGAAGACTGCTCTATGTATATTTCAGGGCGTTTGGCCACGACAGAATGTGTCGCTAAAACTGAAATTTAAAAACCACTTCATTAATCTGTTGCTGGATTAATTAAAAAATATTCTGTTCGGCGGATAATTACCAAAGGTTGACTCCAACTGATACCAACTGATTTCTAATTGATTGATCGAGGGAAACTTTATATTGGATGGAAGTCGTTGGGCATTAAATTGTATTCCACTTTTGTTTTATGATATGTAACTTAGTAAACCGTGTTACAGAGTAGCACTAGCTTTACAAAAGTAACCAGTAGTAAAATATAAAATGGAATCTCCTTTCTCAGCTAAGGGTACACCAAACCTCAGCTGTCTACTGGCGGCTGCAACAAACAGAAATTTGGTTGCATATTAAAAATGGTGTATTAACCAGAATTACAAATTATCTTGCGTAAAAACGTTCTATGGTTAAGAATTCTAAAACGTAGGCTTTCGGTTTCCAGTATAAAAACTAAAACGAAAAAGCGCGAGATGAAAAAATATATGCGAGAAGAAAGCATAGGAAATGTAAAAATGGTTAAATAAGGAACAAATGTCCTAATTTAAAAGAAAAGAGTTTGTTTTGTCAACTTCTCGGAGTTATTGTCTGCTTCGTTGACTTCGATAGCGTTTGCAGTGTACCATGATTCCTAAGTTTATTGAACTCTGAAGTTTCCTTTGACAATTATACTGGCATTGACAAAATCAATAGAGTGGTCGTTAGACCACGCGTGGGATGACATAAGGGGAGTTTTTTTGCATGTTTTTACAATCCAGATGTCTTCTTTTTTCCTCGTACAAAAGCACCTAGATATCCATATCTTGTTTAATATCCAGGTTGAGAAACAACTGAAAGTAAGACAAAACATGACCCCTGGCAACGTTCTTATAACGTAGGGATTTGCTATCCGAATGGATTAAGTAATACGAAGATCGTCTCATATCGAACAATTATTGGACGAGTCTTTTTCGTGATATCCAGAAAAAAATCAAGGGCGAGGTAACGCACACGTTTTATCATCGAAAATGAGTGATGGCCTGGGTCAAGAATATCGACGCAGGAAATTATGGCATTTGGGGTAAACAAAGTATGGCGGATGGGAACAGTGCATACGGTAGTGATTCATGATTTGTTTGGTGCCACTGCTACTTTGCAGCACAATATTCCAATGCTCATTCAGAAGTCGATGTTGAACAACCCCAATTTAAGCATTCATGCCGTTGTTTCGAGAGTTTTACCATACGGTATTCTTGCATGCATCTTGACATATAAATAAATACACACGCTAAATAAAGGAATTATGGTCTAGACCACAAAAACTACACTGTCCTTTTGTCAACGTTTAACCTGGGCAAGTTATGCATGGCCAATGTAGTCCAATAACAGCTGCAACATTTTTAAGGATTCTGGAAACCTTGTAAGGCCTATGTTGGTTTCGCACTCGACAGATGTTGAAGCGGTAGAAGTTTGTCTTTACTCGGCCATTAATCTAGCTTTTTCTCTCTTTTTAACCTTTATATCCAATGCTCAGCATTACAATTCTTCGCATCTTTCGAAATATTTAGTTAACTAGTAATTTCTAACAGAAACTGAATGCTGCGTAATAGTGTAGAGAACATTAAGTTTAACTTGAGGGAGACGTGATAACACTGTGGGGGATTGGCTTGTTTGGAACAAATACTGTGCCAGCGTATTTTTGCCCATTGAATATATCATGAAGTTTTTACAAGTTCAGTCCTCTGTATATTAGAACGTCCAATCTCCCAAGTCCCCAAAGGCACAGGAATTATTTTTACTTTCTTCTCCCCTCCCCGTTTTAGTTTTAATTTTTTTCACTTTTGTTTTATTTTAAGAAACTATTGACCGAAACGCAGAGTTTTCCTGACCATATCCTTTCTTTAAAAAAAATCATGTGGAGCTTAAGACCATTTAAGAATTCGTCGATTATTTGGAACTTCAGTATTCAGAACTTGAAGCTCTTTACTGAAGAACGTTAAGATAAAGAATTTGTTACTGTGGTCTTTAGAGGTTCGTCCGTAGCCTTCGTTGGAAGAGCGTTCGAAAAGAAATGCCCGAGGTGACAGTGGTATATCAAGTTACAGTTGTTGCCTTGTGATAGTGCAACCTCGGGGAATCTCATTTTCGTGTCTTGTGAAACATGATAACGAGACAGATAGTAACCCCCTCTACAACCCCCGCGCATGCCCAGATAAGTATCGTTTATCGCTTCGCTGCGCAACAATAATCAAATTCTTCATTGTTAGAATGGAAAGTAAACCTCTCTACGAATCAATGGTTCTTAACATAACATACAACCAGCTGAAAGCAAACTAACGGTACTCTGCATTGCTCTTCAGGATTCGTTATAATTTTAAGAATTTTATGTTTTACATGATTCTCAAAAATCACAGCATTTAGAAGATAAGTTGACATGACATTTGATCTACATATTTCGTGTTATTTAGCTCCAAATTTATCTAGAAGTTGCGTCGTATTTTATCTAGAAGTTGGGTGTGAAAACATGGGTTCGTGTCCTCAGTTTTGACTAGTAGCAGTAGTTGTAAGGAACTACACCTCATCCATGCCAGTGCAAAAACCAACTTGTTCGCCTCTGACTGTTTGGGAATCTTTAAAACGATTTTTGATCTATTTACAGTAGATACCAAAATTTAATTTTTGTTTCCACGCCTACAGTGTTCCCAATTAGCATCACAGTGCTGACTACATTTGTAAATGTTACAATACATTTAAAGTGTCAAAGATAATATGCGTTTGTATTCCCTTGTTTAAAACCTTGACTTAATTCGAGGTTCAGTGATCATAGCGTTTGCACTAGCGTTTCAGAACTATTTTCAGCCCCTAAATGGGCGCACTAATAACTCTCAAGAAATCCTTTGTTGCAATCGTGACGGTNAAAAGCTTTCCAGCTGGGCTGATATCTGTTTCAGACTCAGATAACTTGTTCAAATGATTGACACATCCTTATCCATTTTCAATGCGCCCTGGTGCTTGGATACTGTATGGACTTTAAGCCGCTTTCAAGCAGGATGGGTCAAGTTCTCAAAAACATTTCGTAATTTTTGTAGATTTTTTTTCGAAAAGGAAACTGCAAATAGAGAATTAATCATGACCAAAAGATGCATCTCATTGGAATAAATCCAATAACATATAATGGCGACAGACCTGAATGATGAGGAAAATTATTACTACAAAGTGGAATACTGGTTCTTAATTAAAAAGGAAGAAAAAAAGGTACAAAAGTCGACAACACGGGGGTCCTGTTTCCAATAAATCGACACTATGCATTTGGATAATCCGATATGAGACGATGGCGACAGACACAAGTGATGAAGAAAATTACTACAAAGTGGGACACCTATTTCTTAGTTGCTATTATGGGTTTGTACAAAAGTCGACGACACGGGGTCCTGTTTTCAATAAATTGACACTGTGCCAAAAAAAAAAAACACTATGAAAAGGAGAAGAACAATCATCGTTTAATGTTTTGGCAAACGAAAAGATAAAATGCGGGAACTCTTTCAAATGTAACTATCATGTTATAGCATGGGCTAATGACGAGTACTGTGCAGTTAATTCATTATGACGTAATGCTGTGCTACTAACCAATCAGATTCAAGAATTATGATATAGTTTACATTTATTTTATTTAAAAGTTCGTTCAATGTTAAATTATTTCTTTTCAAACATTCAATTCATTGTCTACAAAAACAGACTCCTGAAAGATACCCTCTGAATTTCTAAAAAAAAAAAGAAAAAATTCGAGTACGCAGAGCTTCCATATACGAAGGTACGGGAAAATATCAAGTTACTTTTGTCTTAATTAAGGCCTTTGCATATATTTTTGGAAGTTTTTGTCATTTTTATCTTGTAACGCTTAGAATTGACATATTCTACAGCTTTTTTCATTCCTGTTTTAAATTTACCCATATATGCTAATTTCATTCGTTTTTTTTTTATTAACTTGAAAATGACACGTCGTTCCTTGTCATCGTTGATTTTTATCGTCATCGTCTTCTTGCAAGCACATTCGATGCGATACAACTGCAGCTGACTCAGGTTTACGCCGAAGTCGACTTAATTCCGACTATTCAAATGTGGTCAAAGCCTCATAAACCCTATTTCGGGAGAATAGGAAATTTTTGTGGCCCAAAATACTGAAGAGCCGGACATCATTTTGACCATTTTGAGGACAACTCAGAATTTTCAGGACGAGTTTGACTGCTTTACGGCTCTTCTCAAACGACCTTCTTTAAAGAAAGGGCTCTTAATGAGTGCTTGCATGGTTAAAGCTGGTGGAAGGACGATCACCTACAGTATACGTTTAATTAGGGACCTTACGCGTATGCGACTGCGACGGCGGGGACGACGGCTATTAGATAAAGTATTAATATTTTTCTTCAGGATTTTACAGTAATCTAGATCTCTTTAGTGTGCCTGTCTGTATAAAATCTTGCCCCTACTGAATATGCTGTGAATGCATTCGGTCTTAATTAGAGATATGAAAAATTAGTCGTAGTGATTCACGTTTAACAAAAAAATTGGAAATTAGTAATTTCACGCTATTGATTTGCAACGGACGCCGCTAGGAAATGTACAAAAGCGCATAATGCGAGTGAAAATTCATCACTGTTCTGCTTATTAAGCCTTTTGTTTGGTTCGTTGTCGTTGCCGTAGTGTTTTGCGCACGGTTTCCCTATTCATACTAATGAGAAACTGTTAAGAAAATCGGTCTCTTTTGCCTTTCCCTATACCCAGGTCTGGACAGACAATGAACGGCACAAGCCCTGAAGTGTTCCACTTGTTTAAAGGAGTTCCGTGGTTGATAACATACATCTGTGAAGCAGTTTTGATACTCACTGGGAACGCTGTCACGATCCACATCTTCTGGAGCATTCGGAAACGAATGAAGCGCTCCAGCTATCTTCTCATCAATCTAGCAGTTGCTGACTTTTTAGTGGGAATATCAATCAGCCTTTTCCTGTTTGTTCACATCTCCAGCGCAGCACCAATCCTTGTTATTAACACTGTAGTAAAAATAGGCGTGTTCCTTGATACTGTTGGAGTAACATCTTCAATATTGTCATTGGCTCTTATTTCACTGGAAAGAATGCTCGCAATGTTGTGGCCATTTCGCCATAGAACTGTTAAGACATGGTACTACCACCTTTCTGTTGGAATCGTTTGGCTCTTAGCTTGCTTCAATGGAGTCGTAAATGTGATCATTGATCTTTATCGCACAAAAAGCCAGGATGGATTTAGTTATCTGATGGCCATCACCATCATCTGCTCCGTCTTGGTTATCACTGACGCGTACCTGGCGATTTGGTTCTCAATCAAACGCAGTAACCGGTTTCGTAGCAATACTTGCAGGTCCATGGAACAAGACAGAAAACTTGCCAAAACTCTTTTTATCGTGACAGCCTTTTCAGTTTTTACCTGTCTGCCTTCTGGTATATCAGTCTTGCTCTTAGAGACTACCTCCAAAATATGTACTCATTCAGGGTACAAATCACTTTTGTAGCACAGTACGCAAATTCGTTTCTGAATCCAGTTATTTACTGTTTCAAGATACCTGAGTTTCAAGCATCGCTTAAGAAGCTTCTCTGTAGTTGTCAAAGGCAACGGCTCCCGTTTAATGAAGATGCAGAGGCAACGAGTGTAGTTACTTTGAGATCCTTGAAGAGTATCGAGGCATCACTGCCTGAACAAAAATCTTCGTAGTTGTAGTTGCTCAAGGCAACGGCTCCCGTTTAATGAAGATACAGAGGCAACGAGTGTAGTTGCTTTGAGAGCCTTGAAGAGTATCGAGGCACTGACTGAACAAAAATTGTTGCCAGGCTGAATCCAGTTCTGTTGATCTAATCAACATCCCAGTTCTTGATCCAGTCATCATATGAATCACTGAGTCTTGATTTCAAGAGCGGAAGTGATTTAGATCAAAGTTTTGTTTTCTATGAATTCAGTAATTGTTGACTTGCCCCACAGAAAACGTACCAGTAATCCTTTAAGGCTGACGAGACTTTCTTATTTAAAAGTGCCGCTTCATACCGGGTGCTTCCTCAGTTGACTCATCAAAACTAAGGTTTCAGTCTCGGTCAACCCAGGTTTCATTGCTGGTTATACAAGGTTTTCAGTTTTCTCACGTTTTTTTGCGAAGATGAAGTTGAAGGTTAACTACGAAGACTGCTCTATGTATATTTCAGGGCGTTTGGCCACGACAGAATGTGTCGCTAAAACTGAAATTTAAAAACCACTTCATTAATCTGTTGCTGGATTAATTAAAAAATATTCTGTTCGGCGGATAATTACCAAAGGTTGACTCCAACTGATACCAACTGATTTCTAATTGATTGATCGAGGGAAACTTTATATTGGATGGAAGTCGTTGGGCATTAAATTGTATTCCACTTTTGTTTTATGATATGTAACTTAGTAAACCGTGTTACAGAGTAGCACTAGCTTTACAAAAGTAACCAGTAGTAAAATATAAAATGGAATCTCCTTTCTCAGCTAAGGGTACACCAAACCTCAGCTGTCTACTGGCGGCTGCAACAAACAGAAATTTGGTTGCATATTAAAAATGGTGTATTAACCAGAATTACAAATTATCTTGCGTAAAAACGTTCTATGGTTAAGAATTCTAAAACGTAGGCTTTCGGTTTCCAGTATAAAAACTAAAACGAAAAAGCGCGAGATGAAAAAATATATGCGAGAAGAAAGCATAGGAAATGTAAAAATGGTTAAATAAGGAACAAATGTCCTAATTTAAAAGAAAAGAGTTTGTTTTGTCAACTTCTCGGAGTTATTGTCTGCTTCGTTGACTTCGATAGCGTTTGCAGTGTACCATGATTCCTAAGTTTATTGAACTCTGAAGTTTCCTTTGACAATTATACTGGCATTGACAAAATCAATAGAGTGGTCGTTAGACCACGCGTGGGATGACATAAGGGGAGTTTTTTTGCATGTTTTTACAATCCAGATGTCTTCTTTTTTCCTCGTACAAAAGCACCTAGATATCCATATCTTGTTTAATATCCAGGTTGAGAAACAACTGAAAGTAAGACAAAACATGACCCCTGGCAACGTTCTTATAACGTAGGGATTTGCTATCCGAATGGATTAAGTAATACGAAGATCGTCTCATATCGAACAATTATTGGACGAGTCTTTTTCGTGATATCCAGAAAAAAATCAAGGGCGAGGTAACGCACACGTTTTATCATCGAAAATGAGTGATGGCCTGGGTCAAGAATATCGACGCAGGAAATTATGGCATTTGGGGTAAACAAAGTATGGCGGATGGGAACAGTGCATACGGTAGTGATTCATGATTTGTTTGGTGCCACTGCTACTTTGCAGCACAATATTCCAATGCTCATTCAGAAGTCGATGTTGAACAACCCCAATTTAAGCATTCATGCCGTTGTTTCGAGAGTTTTACCATACGGTATTCTTGCATGCATCTTGACATATAAATAAATACACACGCTAAATAAAGGAATTATGGTCTAGACCACAAAAACTACACTGTCCTTTTGTCAACGTTTAACCTGGGCAAGTTATGCATGGCCAATGTAGTCCAATAACAGCTGCAACATTTTTAAGGATTCTGGAAACCTTGTAAGGCCTATGTTGGTTTCGCACTCGACAGATGTTGAAGCGGTAGAAGTTTGTCTTTACTCGGCCATTAATCTAGCTTTTTCTCTCTTTTTAACCTTTATATCCAATGCTCAGCATTACAATTCTTCGCATCTTTCGAAATATTTAGTTAACTAGTAATTTCTAACAGAAACTGAATGCTGCGTAATAGTGTAGAGAACATTAAGTTTAACTTGAGGGAGACGTGATAACACTGTGGGGGATTGGCTTGTTTGGAACAAATACTGTGCCAGCGTATTTTTGCCCATTGAATATATCATGAAGTTTTTACAAGTTCAGTCCTCTGTATATTAGAACGTCCAATCTCCCAAGTCCCCAAAGGCACAGGAATTATTTTTACTTTCTTCTCCCCTCCCCGTTTTAGTTTTAATTTTTTTCACTTTTGTTTTATTTTAAGAAACTATTGACCGAAACGCAGAGTTTTCCTGACCATATCCTTTCTTTAAAAAAAATCATGTGGAGCTTAAGACCATTTAAGAATTCGTCGATTATTTGGAACTTCAGTATTCAGAACTTGAAGCTCTTTACTGAAGAACGTTAAGATAAAGAATTTGTTACTGTGGTCTTTAGAGGTTCGTCCGTAGCCTTCGTTGGAAGAGCGTTCGAAAAGAAATGCCCGAGGTGACAGTGGTATATCAAGTTACAGTTGTTGCCTTGTGATAGTGCAACCTCGGGGAATCTCATTTTCGTGTCTTGTGAAACATGATAACGAGACAGATAGTAACCCCCTCTACAACCCCCGCGCATGCCCAGATAAGTATCGTTTATCGCTTCGCTGCGCAACAATAATCAAATTCTTCATTGTTAGAATGGAAAGTAAACCTCTCTACGAATCAATGGTTCTTAACATAACATACAACCAGCTGAAAGCAAACTAACGGTACTCTGCATTGCTCTTCAGGATTCGTTATAATTTTAAGAATTTTATGTTTTACATGATTCTCAAAAATCACAGCATTTAGAAGATAAGTTGACATGACATTTGATCTACATATTTCGTGTTATTTAGCTCCAAATTTATCTAGAAGTTGCGTCGTATTTTATCTAGAAGTTGGGTGTGAAAACATGGGTTCGTGTCCTCAGTTTTGACTAGTAGCAGTAGTTGTAAGGAACTACACCTCATCCATGCCAGTGCAAAAACCAACTTGTTCGCCTCTGACTGTTTGGGAATCTTTAAAACGATTTTTGATCTATTTACAGTAGATACCAAAATTTAATTTTTGTTTCCACGCCTACAGTGTTCCCAATTAGCATCACAGTGCTGACTACATTTGTAAATGTTACAATACATTTAAAGTGTCAAAGATAATATGCGTTTGTATTCCCTTGTTTAAAACCTTGACTTAATTCGAGGTTCAGTGATCATAGCGTTTGCACTAGCGTTTCAGAACTATTTTCAGCCCCTAAATGGGCGCACTAATAACTCTCAAGAAATCCTTTGTTGCAATCGTGACGGTGAGACCTCCTTCTACCAGAGTTGGCCAATTATATCCATTAACCATTCTTTCTTTCTTTTCTTTTTTTTTTCTTTTTGGATCCGCAATGGATATTAAATTTACAGATTGCCAGGACGTCAGGTCCTGAAAGCTGCCGCAATAAAATATCCAAGACTTTTAAGATTTCATGGATTCCTGGGAAATTAAGAACCCTGGATCATCCATCATCATCTCTCAATGACATTTCTCGGAAGAACTCCATTAGAGAGTAGAGGCTGACGCTCTCATGGGTTTGGCCGAACTCTGATTTAAGTTTGGCAAAGTCGCCATCAAGTCCTTCCGTTCCAACGTTTTTTTGCTGTTCATCACGACTTGACTTCACCTCCTGATAGACAAAAAAACTTCAACATTACCGCATTGCCGAAAATCTTAAATATTTTGTTGCTCAGAAGCAAACGTAAACAGTATATGTACCTTTACAAGTTCACTTCTTTTCATTGCATGCGAAGCGTCATCTTGGGACGCCATTTCACTCGGTGGAGGACTCTGCCTCGTTTCCAAAGACAGCAGTTCGAGTCTCAGACACTGAGCATGCGCACGTGACTTGACGACAGATATTCGTACCTTAAAGTGAAACAATCACAGAGTTCTAACAGACAGGTATTAAATAAATAATAATAACATGTAACAAAAAAGTTTAACCAAACCTGAATATGATCAAACAGTCGAAAGTCGAAGGTTCCAGCACCATTCCTGACTGTCATGTGATACTCGAAACGAGAAAGTGACCCTGTAAAAGGCATTTACTCTCTTAGGCCCCGTCCACACGTATCCGGATAATTTTAGATCAGCAACTTTTTCTTTCCGGATTCAAAAATTTCCCCATCCACACGTAGCAAAAATATCCGGATTCGCTGCCGAATTCGCCTGATGCGTGTGGACGGAAGCCGTATCCGGAAAGAAAAAGTTGCGGATTCAAAAATATCCAGATACGTGTGGACGGGGCCATAGCTTAAGATCCCTTCGTTCTGCTTGCGCGCATAGGGAGTACCGGAGTCTGATTCAGCACTGCTTATTTATTTTGCAGAGTATAACGATGTTTCTCATTACGACCGCTATCATTTTTAAGGCGCCGAGCCGATATGTACCGGCCGTTGGTAAAAGTAAAAGTAGAATTTCAATGAAAAAAGTTGTCATCAAAGCGTTCTCGAATGAATTTATTCGGAAAATTAAATTTCCAAGCCGATGGGCAACGGGACTCAAACGTAAGACCTTCCAGATACCGGTTTGATGCTCTAACTACTCAGCTAAGGATGACTCGCATTGAGCGAGAGGTACAACTGTGGGATATTCATTAAGTACTGACAATTTCTATCGTCTAGTAGTGCCAGGTGTAAGAACATTTTTCAACAAGTGCAGAACGTCTTCTGTGAATTAAATTTTCCTCATTTGGGGATAAAACTTTGGCAAAACCACCTAAGTTCTTAGAGATTTAAATCAGCATTCTAGATCGGCGGGTGCTTTAGAGGAAGCTTCTTGGATGACTCTTAGGAAATGGGACACAAAAATGTGTGCATTACAAACCCGTAAATTAGCAAGTTGAAAGGTTAATTGCATGTCTCCACAACAAATTAACAGTCTGAACTTCAAGCCACTCAAAGCGAAGGTATACACAGTCTTTTCGGCCAATTTCGTGCAACATCAAAGCATATTTTGGTTTCGGGTCGTGTTTAGCTTATCACAATAGTCAAGGCCGGAGTGATCACTGTGATTGAGTGAGTTGCTTTAAAATGACAGATATACCAACCTGGACCGAAAACAACTGAATCATCTTTTACATACGGAGTGACTACTTCTCCTGTCTTGTCCTTGAGATAGACTGGGCCTTTCAAACCGTAACTGAAAGCAAGAAGGGATAACGGCTGTTAAAGTAATGCTTGTGACGATCATAGCTCGCTTGTAAGAGTTTGGCATAATATGTCCACAGACATCAGGCAACAACTGTTCTGAACGTGTTGATAATTACAAGTTACAATCGAGCGCTTTTCACTTGAGCGTCGAAAGTAATTCGCATTTTCTTTGGTTTTGCATTACTACGCTTTGTGAATGTTTAAAAATCTCGCGCAACTTTCGCATTCAATCAAAAGTAAAGTTAAAACCATTCGTGACCCGCTCGGCCAATTTCTTCCGCGCTTTGTTCCGGTTGCATGCATTTGGTCTGAGTTTCGTTTGGTTTACTGGATTATCTGCGTCTTTTGTGATTGGCCAGGGTAGTTACTTTAGTTTTGGTTATTCGAAATTCAATTAAAAACCGCTCCAAGGGAAAAGGAGTTATTTCAGCAAGGCGCACGTTGAAAAGGTCGTCTTAATCTTCCGCAATTTTAAGCATTCTTGTTTCTTGTCCATTCCTATCATATTTTGGTAGGTAAAGGGAAAGTCGGCATACCAGCCAATTGGCTTGAAGCACGAAGCAACTAGGAGTATTTCTACTGCACCCCGCAGCATTAAATTCGCCAGTACCCATTTATACACCTGGGTGGAGAGAGGCACTGTGAGAGTAAAGTGTTTTTCCCAAGAACACAGTACAATGCTCATGGCCAGGCTTGAACCCAGACCGTTCGATCTGGAGACGAGCGCACTAACCATGAGGCCACCGCGCCTCCACAATTTCGAGATTCCCTATATTTGAAGATTATTTCTAAACATTGCAAAAATGGCATAAAATGACACAATGAAGCTCCTCTAAATAAGCTCTTTTTCAGGTGTGTTAGTTGATGTTTTTTTTTTAAACTATGCCACTTCATATTTACCGTGGAACAAACACAAGGACGCCATTTGCCCTTAGATTAAAGATAACAGCGTCACAGTTCCGTCTCTCGTCATCTTCGGGTAAGTCTTGGAAAAATAAGCTTTGAAAAAGAACAACGGATTCCTTCTGGGCGTTCTGGGCAGCCTAAAGGACAAGAATAAACGGGAGATTATCTTACAACACTTGGAAAAAAGACACTCTAAAAGTGCAATCAATTGAGATTTACATACGATTGTATACACAAATCTGATATTGAACAAAACAACGCTGTGTGCAATCTAAGATTAGCGTCGATTGATCTGGGTGTCAATGTGAGACACGAACTGAACTCAGCCAGCAATCAGTGCAAAAAATCCCAGAGCATTAAAGAAATTAGTTCTAGATAAAATTTGCCAAGGTCCATTTACAAAAGACGTCGTACCCTGTGCTTGATATTAATATGCTGGCACGTCTCTTGAAGTTCTTTGTTGTTTGGAAGCTCGGCAATGTCTTCATTTTCAACAGCGGCGATTAACAGTCTGTGAACCTGTGAAAATTAACAACCATTCGATTTCAATTAATATAATCCAGAGGTTTTTCCCCCCATATAAATGACAAGGATCGCCTGACGAACCAGGCCCAGAATGCATCGGGATAGCGCTAGCAGTTCTACCTACAGAAATGAGATTTGCGATCGGTCAAAAAGGGATGCGCAAAATAGACATGAGATATCAGAAAAAAACTGAGTCTCTACAAAGGCTCTCTTGATTCAGTGCTCGCTTGCATTTGTAAAGAGTAATTTTCAGGCCTAATGCGTCTGCTGGCGTGTAAAGAGATGTTGATGACGACTGGTACACTACTGACCAAAGAAAATAATAGAACAATAGAATTTTAAAAAATGAACCTCACACACTTACAATGACATCAGCGTATCTCCTAATCGGTGACGTAAAATGCGTGTAGTGATCCAAGGCAAGGCCATAGTGGAAGAAATGTTCCGGCGATAGTGAGCCAGTGGAGAAGTAGAGTGCATTTGACATGGCTTGAGTTGCAAGAGAACGGATAAGCTACACAAAAAAATGAAACCCTAATCATTGTCACAAGTGCCAGCAGGCTAAAACATCTTACAGTACATTCATTTCCATTCAAAGACTCCGAACACCCATCCTGACGCTTCAATTTTTCCTCAACAGAGGGCTCCGCCCCAAGCTTGGTCACCATACGTTAAGTAATCTTTTACCGAACATTAATTCCAGCAACTTTCTTTACGTCTTTTGTCTATATCTGCCCCAAGACGTAAGAATTGGCATGGATAACAAAATTGTACTGCAACTCATTAAAGATGGAAACACGTTCAAAGTTGGTACCTTATTAAAGTTAGGATCCTGAGGATCAAAACATTCATCCAGTGAGTCAGCCAGAGATTTATTCGAGCTAAAATAGTAAATAAAAGATAAAAGTGAGTAAACTAATGAAGTGGGTGAGTAGAATAGTGTATCTTTACTTCAACCGACATATTTCTCTCTAACTTGAAGTACGTACATTTACACCCAAAATTTTGACAGTATTCACCATTTCTACGTGTACTTCTCAAACTCATTAATAATTCATCAAGTTTAAACAAAGGAAATCATGAGCGTGACGGTGTTTGGATATCTGATCTTAATTAGCATAGATTTTTACGATTTTATTTCTCCGTTTTCTCGTTAGCATTAGTTTCGATTGAGAAGATATATCAAACACTCAAGACAGTGTTTGACCACATTTCCAAACACCTCAAAGTTCGTCATAAAAAACTCCGCTGCAAGTCTTATTTTCAACTCTCTTGTCGGTGTGGTCAGACACGGCCTTTCGTGTTTGGTATATTACCTCTCACACTAAGTAGCCGTATGATTTCAGTGATGAATAAGCAAGGAAGTAATCAATGAACTAAGCAAGATGGAAGGCACACAGGTTGTAAGGTATGTAGGTAAGAAGGTGCTGATAGGTAGAGAGGGAACTATAGTTAACCCACCAATCTTCCTGTGGGTGAATGTATACCTTGTGTCGATAGAAAATCCTTTAGAGCCTGCACAATGCATGAGGTTTGCAAAGTGCTGTGTTCTTGGCAGTGGGTGATGACGCAACTAGAGGAACCAATTAAACTCTTGTTAATGAACTACTGTTCAAACGTATCTTCAACACATGATTAAAACGTCAATCCTCTAGCAAGGTTAATTAATTAAACAAGGGGGACATCTTACCAGAGCTGCGCTAGGAAAAGCTTCAGCAATTTTCTTGGCTACCCAGTGATTGGCGAATATCATACACTCTGCCACAGTTTCATGAATTTCTAAGGGCTGAAAAGAAACACGACTGAATTTGAATAATAGATTTTGTATAATCATTTTTCTTAAAGATTAATTTTGGGGGGAAGGCGTGGTGCCTCATGGTTAGCGCACTCGTCTCCTGATCGAGCGGTCTGGGTTCAAGCCCTGGCCGGGGACATTGTGTTGTGTTCTTGGGCAAGACTCTTCACTCTCACAGTCCCTCTCTCCACCCAGCTACATACATGAGTACCAGCGAAATTAATGCTGGGGGTAACCCTGCGATGGACCAAAATCTTATCCAGGGAGGAGTAGAAATATGGACGAAGTGCCACAGTGGCAAAAGTAAAGGTACAGGAATAAATAAACACGCTTCTCATGTTACACCTTGTTACGACACTAGTAGAAGTAAAGACCGCCGAACCTCTTTAATACGGACACCAAAATTGTCGAATTGAGTGAGCTGAGTGACCGGATTACAGGCAGAGATTGTATCATTTGTATGAATTCTGTTTTCTCTGGGACCATGTGAACTGCCCATAAATGGTTCGACTGTAGTTATTCCCTTTTACCTTTTTAGGAATTAAATCCTTTATGTCTTTTTTATCATCTAGTTGGACTTGCACCTCTACACCTTCTAGTTCTAGTGCACCTGTAAATAAGCACGAAGTCTAATTGGAAATTGAACCTTCACCGGTAATACAAAAGAAAAGAAGTATCGAGACTCTGTTAGTTAATCTTTAATCTTCTGGGCTTCTACGTCTCCTTGCACGTCTGCTTTTAATGCAAGCCAAGGTCGCAAGAACGACACAAACATTTACACAGGTGAACGTCCAAACACAAAGTTCTAGAATAAAATGTTTCTGAGGAAAACAGAAGTGGCGTTCAAGAATTGAGTGTTCAACATGTGTGGGTTTACCTTGGCTTGCCAAAAGTGAGCTTTCGTAAAAACATAATTTCTCAATATTTGGCTCTACAACAATATTTTCAAGGAGGGAGAAATTGCAACATATTCTCTTTTTCGTATTTTTTCAATTCTAGTTATAGTAGAAATAGTATTACCGTGGACGGTTCTTCTTGATTTAATCACTCTTGCAATGTCCATAAGTTTCAATACTGTTCGACGAATTTCGGACAACCTTAAAATCAAGACAAAGTACACCACATTGGAAATAATGCACGAAGTCGTTAAAGGTGTTCAAACACCAATTTACAGAAAGGTTTACTCAGTGCAACATCGCTTTTATTAACAGGCGATATAGAACTTTCTAGGCTATTAGAAATTTTTATTTAAATCTACAAAAATAGAAGGCTTTTTGGGAAAAAAAGCGGGAGAACTAGAAATGCTTTGGGAGCAGGTGCCACAAATGCTTGATCATTTACATTATAATGTCATCTAGTACCAAAAGACAATCAATCTGAATAAGCCTCAGGCCACTTCAGTGTTGCTTTAAATATAAGAAGGATTTAACTTCTGCTATTACATTTTAATCTCTAATAATTTACATCGAGCATGAGCAAACCTTTTTGATGCAGCTTCTCGTTCAACATTCTGTAATTCCGGAATGTCTTTAATGAGATCTTCCTCATTGGTCTCTCCATCAGCAATGGCTTGCGCTGCCTATGAAAATAGAAGTTCTTATTTTTGATGCAAGGTTGTACAACAACAAAAGCAGCAACAAAAACAACTAGTATACGTTCGAACCTCTCCACAACGGCCACCTTGGGGACAGAGGAAAGTAGCCGTTGTGGAGAGGTGGCCATTGTAAAGTGGTGGCCGTTAGTGGAGGTACGACTGTATGAAAATTTCAAAAAGCAGGATTGTCAGGATTGTTAATTATATTGTCAGGCTTTTTAATAGTTCATTAGAAAATATTAGTTTATTAATTATACTAAGTGTCCCCAATTAGTAGAGGTTTTTTTTTTTTCCCATCGGCTAGAAATAAAGACACATTAATAAAGTTTATGTATGTATGTATTGACGAACGACTTCTTCTTGCCCTGGGGCAGGGCTTTTTAGTTTTTAAAAGATGTCTCGTAAGTATTGTTCAAAAACAAAAGGCTGTTGTTTGGAATCAATGCCAAGGATACATTTTTAACTTAGGAGAGCTTAGTGAATCTGGAGCCCTGACCTGCACATTAAAGAAATTTTTAGTGATGTTTTCACAAGAGCTTGTTCACGTTGAAATGTATTCAGCCACTAAGAACACGATTATTATTTTTTTTGGTAATAAGACGAGTTAAAGAAAGACAAAACGGATGTTTTTAAACGAGCAGACCCAATCATAAATATTCTTCAAACATACCTTACCTCATAGAAAAGCTTGTAGGAGGACCGAATCACAGTTCTACCAAACCAAGTCTTGACAACATTGTAGTCGGAATCCATAACCCAAAGAACACTTACAGCGTATCTGTCCAAAGAAAATCAAATGATGGAATACCGGCTGGATAAGCCATTATAATCTTCCTGACATTACTGAATTTCCTATTCAGACACCCACCCTTACAAAAATATAGTTGCAAAGTTACCCTGGTTCCAAAGATCTTTTGCAAACTTTGGCTCGATTTTAGCCTTCGTGGCATATTTTCAGACTTTCTGTGTGATGATCAAGACCACGTCATGACAGTCGTTTTGGTTTACATATACTGTGTATCTCCAGGTCGAGTGGTGTGTGGGAGCAGTCACTCAAATCACAGCAAGTCCCTCCAGCTTAGATTGGACTCACTGAGCTCTACACCACAGTCCATAAACCAAAGCACATAAAAAAAGCAATGTATGGAAAAAATGTAATTAAGATTAACTACTGTGATGTTTTTTATGTCATTTACGTGCTATATTCGACGCAGTTGCTTTGCCTTCACTATAACTATGTTGTGGTGTTTTGCTATAGAAATACAGGTAGCAACAAAGGGATTGCGTTACCTGTCGACACCTCCAATGAGTGAGCACAGGTCAGCGCTAAGCACCTCTGGTAACATGTCAAACCTTCGGTCGGCCAGATATACTGTAGTTGATCTGTCAAAAAAAAAAAGAAACAAGTAACAAGTTACTCACGAGAACTGCACTAACGGCACTCTCACTAAATTTAATTTTTGTAGAAACTAACGGACCCCGGTGGGAAAAAAAGTGCTCAGCATAGTTGCCCGTGACTTACTACACGCAACTAATCTAAACGACATGTACTTCTTATATTAATTTGTTCACAGTCATTTCTTTGTATTCGTTCAATNATTGGACTCACTGAGCTCTACACCACAGTCCATAAACCAAAGCACATAACAAAAAAAAAAACAATGTATGGAAAAAATGTAATTAAGATTAACTACTGAGATGTTTTTTATGTCATTTACGTGCTACACTCGACGCAGTTGCTTTGCCTTCACTATAACTATGTTGTGGTGTTTTGGTATAGAAATGCAGGTAGCAACAAAGGGATTGGGTTACCTGTCGACACCTCCAATGAGTGAGCACAGGTCAGCGCTAAGCACTTCTGGTAACATGTCAAACCTTCGGTCGGCCAGATATACTGTAGTTGATCTGTCAAAGAAAAAAAAAAAAACAAGTAACAAGTTACTCACGAGAACTGCACTAACGACACTCTCACTAAATTTAATTTTTGCAGAAACTAACGGACCACGGTGGGAAAAAAAGTACTCAGCATAGTTGCCCGTGACTTACTACAGGCAACTAATCTAAACGACATGTACTTCTTATATTAATTTGTTCACAGTCATTTCTTTGTATTCGTTCAATCGCTTTTGACAATGTTGGAAGAATTAGAAGATCTGTGGACACACCGTATTGTTATTTAAGTCACCCGTAACTTTCTCGAGCAACTGCATTTGAAGGTTTAATTTTTGTTTACGTTCACCATAAAAAGAAAAAGAGCAGCCCAGGTATGGGTTGGAATAAAGAGGAGTCACCGGCAAAAAGTAAACCTGTCCTAAATTACCAAGTGTTCAGAAAATAATGTGCTTGTGACGTGTATGCAGGACGAAACCCTACTGTCATATTTTGTTACACCAGAGGGGGGGAANAAGTGAATACTTTCTTTTGTTCCAGTAATTTTGCATGATTGTTGGCTCTGTTTTATTTGTACTATCAAGTTCATTTTATTATTTTGAGGTTTTATTTTATTTCAAATGATGCCTCTGAAACGGGACTGACAATGTGAGCAAATGCCCTGCGGTTGCCCAGGGGGGGGGGGGGGGGGGGGGACGACTCCCATTTGAAAAGGTCGGGGATGCTTGTCGTTTCTCTTAGGGTGTAAATCAAAGATTTTAGTCTCACTTAGTGTGTTTAGGACCAAACGCCACTAATTGTTAGCCGTCAAGGTATCTTTTAGGGTTGCACTCAAAAAAATAACTAGTAGACTTTTATAACGTTGCTTTTAAAATCTTCCTTTTATAGAAAGCATTCGAGAACAATGTCTTAAGCATCATTAAAATCATTGTAGCCCATACTTGTCTGTCTGCTTCAAAGTGGTATCTTTTAGGGGTCAAATAAAGCTCGGGTCACGCTCAGAGGTTAAACACAAATTTTCCAATGAGCATCCCCTTCCCCCGGCAACGTATACTTCACTGCACACACAATGAACCAGCATGCGGATGCGTGCACACTGCAAACGGTAAGGTATAACACTACATATAGATGTACCTTGTTTTGGCTTCAGTGTCTGTTAGTGAGCCTGGTCTAACAAAGTGAGATACATCTGCTATATGAACACCAAGCTCTATCTGGCCACGTTTCAATGATCTGGTAACAATGAGAAATCACAAAACGTCGGACAAACGCGTTTTACTGATTATATATGGATAGAGCCTTCAACAACCTCGCTTAACGTTCAGTAAGGTTACAGTATGCTGCTAACAAAAGAAAGTGACGAGACAAACGAGTGCTGTTTGCAGTACAAAGTATGAGTAAAGTTAGCGTCTAGTGAATAAAAACATTAACTATCATTTTTCAGCAATTTTTCTCATCTGTGAAGAAAGTTTACCTTACTGATAGAGTGTCGTCGACATCCTCGCATCCTTTTGGATCAATGCTAAAGATCAAGTGTGATTTTCTACAAAGTCGTGAACAAAAACAAACAAAGGGATTATTTTTGAGCAGCACAAGCTATGTACAAAGGTCGTTGATAATCCCACAAGACCGTACCTGATATAACCCAGCAAACCTCACCGTAAATCACGTCGTTTTATTATTTCCTCATCTGACATCACCCAGGGGTTCTCAGGTGTATTACTGGGAAGCTCCTTGAGCTGAGCCTCTGTGAAAGAGGGAGCCGCTAACGAGTGCTCTACCATCAGCGCTTGAACTTCTGTTTCTAGATCACCAATGGGACCCAAGGAACGAACAAAATGGCCGCTTGGGTACACAGAGTCAACCTCCCAAAAATCAATCCGCACTACGATCCTGTGTGCATTGAACAATGTCAAGGGTTACTTAGTTACCCTGCCTTAGTTTCCAGAGATACTTGTACACTGTGCATCTAATGTCTGCCGCAGTTCATTAAAATGTAAAACAATCAACCCTACATAACAGCGATGTCACTATGTGCTTTATTTAACAAATAAAGAAGCCTAAGCCGTGTATTACACTGTGATAAAACATGACGGGCATTTGAGAACACGAGGGAAATGTAGAAAACATGAGCTGCAGGTGAGTGTTTTCTACATTTCTCGGGTGTTCTCAAATGTCCGGAGTGTTTTATCACAGTGTAATACACGGCCCAGACTTTTTCATTTGCTTTATGATACAGATTTTACACGCGAAAAAACACTAAAACATGCTTTTTCTATGCTTTATACTCTGATAAAATATGGGTTTTTGACCAATCAGAGCACGCGCAGGGTCCTATCTATATTATAATGTCATGAACAAACTTCATTCCAATAAGCGCCTCCGTTTTTATTGAGTGCCATTTCTTCAATAAGCGCCCCTGTTCCAATAAGCATCCCTTTGCAATAAGCGCCCCCATTGACATAGAATACACTGATAAGAACATTATGACTCTCATAGCCCACATTGTCATTGTTTATATTCTTGAGTTAGGGTAGCTGCGGTTTTTCATTAAGTATTGTACCACATTCAAATGGATAGGTTCAAAAACAAATTAACACCCGTTCCTAATAAGCGCCCTCACTCAAATAAACATTCCCTCTTGAGCTATCAAAAATGAAATATCCAAGGAAGAATGATAGTGAAATGTTTGGGATAACCGAGTTCGAGACCACAAGGGTAAAAAAACTGTACATGTGGCCAGTGACTAGGGGTTAGTAACAGGAAGAACAGGGAGAGGGCCTGGGGCATAAAAATGATGACGCGTAATCAATGGATGGAGGATATCACTGATGCAGCTGACAGGATGGCTTGAAGACCACAGTTAAGGAACATGAAAACCATGCTACTTACCATTAGGAGAGAAAGGAAAAACTCATTTACATCATTTACAAATAATGTACGTGCCTGTGATCTCGCAAGCTGTCAACTTGCCGTGTACTGATCCGTATCTTTGGAATGCGGTAATCCCAAGGCACAACAATGACCTGAATAAACACAAAACAAAAATACAGGCTATTTAGAGACCGAAGTTTGAAGAATGTTGGTCTCTTTAGGAAAAAGCGATCTGTGTGAAATAAGTGGTTTGTATTATAGAGGTATCGGACAAGTTATAATACCACTGTAGCCAAGTGAACTCTCTACCCTTTGTTGGCTACCTTATTATCGAACAAAAGATTATCATCAAGTAATAACAATATAATGTTTAAAAAATTGTTGATTGAACTGACTTAATAATGTATTAATGTAATCATATTCTGAAATAACACGTGTCTCAGGATCAACCAGTAGGATCTGCAGTTGCAAATTCAAGTGTCTGTAAACATTGAAAGTCAGTCCCAACAAATGGTGGAAACAACTTCCAAAAGACAGTTTCAAGCATTACTAGCATTTTGCACTATTTACACACCCAAACACATTGGTACACATTTGGAGGCTTTTTGCAAAGAGGGACATTAACTAGAAGAAAAATGTCGAGGAAAAGAAAAATGTTTACCTTTCCAGCCGTTTTTCTTGTTCCCTGGGTTTCCTACAAATTTCACAAGTAGTAAAATCAAAGTGATTTGTCAGCCACAATTGAAGAAATCTCCAAACATGTTGTTTCTAAACAGATTTATGAGGAATCAATACCCCAAAAGTACATCTAATGGCTCTCTTTAACTAGTCCTGGATTCTTACTTGATATTTCTGTAAGTGCTTTCAAAGCAAACATAAAAACAGTTTAATTATGCACAGTAGATGTACCTCATTCTCAGCAAAACTTGCCACATAATCTCTCCAATTTCTTTGAAGCACTCCAACCACACGACCAGTGGGCATAACTTCACTCTGTTCTTCTTGAAACAAACCTTCAGCTAAAGACGAGCCTGGGAAATCATGATTTATGTCATACAGTAAAATATGTACAAGTAAATGTGCATGTTTAACAAGTGTACTTCTCAAACTCATTAATAATTCATCAAGTTAAAACAAGTCACAACCGTGGATACCTGGTCTTAGTTAGCATACGTTTTGAGAATTTTACTTCTCCGTTTACTCCTTAGTTTTTATTTTGATTGAGAAGATGTATCAAACACTCGAGACAATGTTTCATCGGCTATCCAAACACCTCAAATTTCGTCAAAAATACTCCACTGCGCATCATATTTTCAACTCTCTTCTCGGTGTTTGGATATCCCAATGAAACACTGTCTCTCGTGTTTGATATATTACATGTACATGTATGTGAACATGACATAAAATATGAAATGAAAAAGTCGAAAATGAAAATCATGTTAGCTAGCACTTAAACGTATAGAAAGGACATGTAAATAGTCAGTGCACGAAACAAGGTTTATGCTATGCAATTCAAGCAAAGGTTTGGCTATTGACACAACTTATTTCCGTTGTCCTCAGTTGAAGATCTATGCAGATGGATGCATCAGCATCAGAGCTGTACACGAGAACAAAATTGATGTACACAGTTCATAATTTTACCTTCATCCTTGCTCTTGAGAGAAACTGATCTGCCTTTCCATTGTGATTTGTGAAGTAATTCTACCACTACAATATCACCATGGACTGCTCTGTTTCTACAAGCGCAAAATAAATTGGGCTCAAATCAATTACATCTGAAAAATGAAATAATTTATAGTATTATGTAAAACGTAAGCATCTATTCATCAACAATTTATGAGCAGGAGTGAAACGAAATACAGTGCAAACTAAGGCACACATACATGTAAGTAAAGTGTGTCGTTCCCTACTCCATTCGATCCATGAATGCAACACACTCAAGGATGTCATGTCCAATAGCCTGGGGCTTATGGATTTTCTGGTTGGGCCAGTGGATTCTATCCTTCTATTGCATGATAGGTAAGTGAAGATTTTTCAGGGAAACTTTGAATGCACTTCAAGCATTTTTCTTGGCAAGCCTGGGGCATTTGTGACTTTTTAAATTGTGAGAATGAGACTCCAAAGTGTCTTTAAAAAAAAACGAGACTGAGAGACCAGTGAAATGTAATGAAATTTTTTTAAGACTCATGGTTGTTGAAGGACCATTTATCACCCCTTGATCTGACAATTCAAGATTTGGCAATTCAAGATTTGGATATTCAAGATTTCAAAATTGAAAATTTGGAAATAAAAGATTTGAAAATTCAAGATTTGCAAATTCAAGATTTAGATATTCAATATTTGCAAATTCAAGATTTGGATATTCAAGATTTAGCAATTTAAAATTTGGCAACTCAAGATTTGGCCTGCCAAATGTGGAAAATCTAAGATTGGAATTGCAAATATTGAAAATTCAAGATTTGGCAATTCAAGATTTGGACATTCAGGTTTATGACATTCAAGATTTGCAATTTCAAGACTGATTTGGCAATTCAAGATTTGGCAATTCAAGATCTGGATATTCAAGATTTAGATATTCAAGGTTCGGACATTTAAGATTTGGACATTCAAGATTTGAATATTCAAGATTTCAACATTCAAGATTTCAACATTCAAGATTTGGACACTCAAGATTTGGACACTCAAGATTTGGGCACTCAAAATTTGGACATTCAATATTTGCAAATTGAAGATTTGGGATTTCAAGATTTGACAATTCAAGACTTGGCAATTCAAGATTGGGAAATTCAACATTTGGCCTGCCAAATATGGAAAATTCAAGATTTAGAAATCAAGATTTGGCCTGCCAAACATTGAACATTTTTTTGGGAAATTCAAGATTTCGCCAGCCAAATATGGAGAATTTAATACTTGAATTGCAAATATCAAAGGTTCAAGATTTGGGAATTCAAGATTTGGCTTGCCAAATATTGAAATTTTCAAGATATGGAAATTTAAGATTTACCAAATAAACAAAATTCAAGATTTGGCCTGCCAAACATTGAAAGTTGAAGATTTAGGGGTGATGAATGGTATAAAATGAAAGGCTTTGCGAGGACGTGAGACTAGTGTTTTCTTCTCAAACTGAAGACATTTGCAACTTTCAAAATTGTGAGACCGAGGCTTTACTGAAAGTGTTTTAAAAATAAGAGTATGCAATATCTGTAAAATCTGACTAAAATATTGCAAGAATTATGATTTTTGAAGGACCATTCACCACTCCTGGATTAGAGATAATGACTTCAGTTCTGGGCTAATACATGCTAGCTACAGCTTACATCTTACAACATCATATTTCTTTTCAACACAAATTCAATACATGGTGATGATCATCTACACATACAAGAAGAAAACAAATTATCAACTGTGGAATGTTGTTTTAACGTTACCAATATAGAGCTGTTACCTGTGAATGTGCATGTACCCCAGATTCTGTGTACTTACTAGAAATAAGAAACAACAGTTCAAACTTGAGACTGAAAGGTTCAATCTAACTGAACGTACATCAAGTGCTTACCTGTTCACCATGCCAGAAATTAAGATATCAGAGTCTGACGAGTCTTTGTTGTTTGAAATTCCCTCCCTAAGTTAAAAAATAGAATGGTTAATATACAAGTCAATTTTAATTACCGATCTTCACATTACCAAAACTACATGTGTATGTACAGCTGTACTGTAGATTCAGATCTAAAAATGACAGAGCATATGAACAGGGTTGGTCAAGCAGATTGGTCTATGGATTGTAGTCATAACATATAAACCTGCAAGATACAGGCCCTTAAACAGACTTAGGCCAAAAACATCACTGACAACTTTTCATATGTGAAACTTTGGTGCCAAATTGGTGATGTCCAGTTTGATTGGCTCAGTGAGACCCTCATTATCAAATCTTATGGTGAAATTGAATGACTTACAGAATTTTGCAGACATTTGAGTTGGTAAAGATAAAAACTTACTTTAAGTTACACATTTTGTTATGTCCAAATAAATTCAAGACTACAAAAAAATCATTTAGGGCCAGAGTTGCTATCCCTGGTGGGATGCTTTTGAAACCACAGTGAAATAGAACAAAAGATGTAAGCCTGATCAATACTCATATTAGCAGAGCTGATTACCTGCAAGAAAGAATGATGAAAACACAAAACCTACCCTGACTTTTGAACGAATGCCTCATCTTGTGCACAATGTTTGTTGACATTGAGACATCCTCTTAAGAACCGCCCCTACAGGATATATATCATCACAAGAATTGTAATAGTACAATTTCGTTATTTTAAGCCCTGGGCTTATGTTTCTTTAAAAGACTCTTTTGCTGCATGGACTTAATCACAGCTTAATTAGAAGCAATTTGGCTTTTAAAAATTATTTGAGTTTATGCTTAATTTTGGAAGTGATGTTACTTTGTCAAAACATTTTGGTGAATTCAAGTATAGAGCTTGATTAAACTCTCTCAACGTCATGATATGAAACACAAGCAATCTATAATTTTATTGCTGTATTTATTTAGTTATTCTATTTCGAGAGGATGCTTGCTACCTTGTTAAAACCTACCAGATATGTAAAGCATCTTGAAATAATTATGTGTATTAACTCTTAATTTGCTGAACATTTTGTGTTTTAAAAGATTACTGGTAATCTTACACACTTTCTAAAAGACTGTTAGTGATTAATTTTTTCACAAAAGGGAGAACATTCACTGAAAAATATCAACTTATCCTATCAGTAAGACATTGCAGCACTCTTTTACTCACAACTTTAATTCCAGCTTCCAGAACCTCAGATGGAAAGTACTCCAGATATTCCTTTGTCACAGCCTCTTTGGCTAAAATTAAGGAACAAGAATACAGGGTGGTGCACGTTATTTTCAACATAATGTACAATTTAGGCACATGCAATTAGTTTGAGAAATTATGTGGACCACTTTTCCTCATAATTATGTAAAACTCAAGTCTTGAATAGAAATAATGGGTATCAATAATCAAATGTTATAAAAGCAAAGATGACTAAGGTGCAGAAAAAGAACCGTCACTATTCATGAGATGTTAAATGTAAACAATTCATGTTTACAAAGTTCACAATGTGTTCAAACACAAGCCATTAATTTTGTTAGAACAGTTGACTAATTGTTTTGACTGATGACATTTTGTGTTTTTGAACAGATAGCTTGAGCTGTTCAGATGGATGAGAATACATGTATCTTTTGAATGGATAGCTCGAGCCATTGGAACAGATGGCAATATTTTCTGAAAGGATAGCTCGTGCTGTTCAAACAGATGACAATATTTTTTGAACAGGTAGCTTGAGCCATTCAGAACCATTCAGAATGTCTCAATGAATGGCTAACCATTAGGAACATTTTTGCGCGAGAGGTCGTATAAATTGTGAAGCTTGATGCAACGTGTAAACTATTCATGTACATCTGTATGTACATAGAGCAAGTTGTTGATACGCATAACTTTCCTTCATTCAATTATGTAAGTTGTTTTCAGAAAATTAAGATGCGGTGCAAAGTGGAAAAGTTGGCATAGTGGCAATAATTTTTTTCACCTTTTATTTCAGAGGTGTCATGAATGCTTTGTGTTCTAAAATCTTTTACCTTTGTTATATGTCAATTGGAACTGTGAAAGATCACTTCATAGCTTTTGAGATTTTCTTTGGCTGCAAAGGCCAACAGTTCATTTGAAGCAAATGATGCCTTTCTACAGCCCACCCCACATACTATAAAGTGAACATGAACAGAGGAATTTACAAAGATAATTATACATGTATTCCAGCGGACTTTAACGAAGTGGTCCTTCATTTGCAGTTTAAGCTAAAAGTAGTGGGTGAATTGGCATAGTGGTAAGGTTTCATACTTGAAGCTTGAAATTCTCTCAACCTTAAACCCTTGCTGAGTTTTGTACATTGCTTAATGTTACTGAAATACAGTGGAAGCTCAGTAAGCGGACATCCTAGGGGCTTAGTGCTCAAATAACAAACCCTAACTGCAGCCAGCATTAACATTAGCATTAACAGTCTCACTGCGACAAAAAGCAATGAATGGGGGTGATACAGTTCACAAATGTTTATGAGTACATTTCAAAGTTGGGGGCAGTTCCTTTTGGGTGTCCGCTTATGGGAGCTGAAAAATAAAAAAAAGTCTTGATTGTACGCCCTCGATGTGTCCCCAGCTGCTTATGAGAATGTCCACTAACAGGAATGAGTAAATACAGAGTTTGTAAGGGAGTTCACACAAGGTTTTGTGATGGCATTCGTTAGTAGAGCTGTCTGCTCACAAGTGTCACTTAGGAGAGCTTTCACTGTATTTCAGTTCATTACAACATTCTTTTATTGTTGGCATTTTCAGCTGTGGAACATCCCTTGAACAAAATATACATGCATGCACTAGCCTTAAGGTGGCTCCACAGGTGGCATGCATTAATGTTATGTTTTGAATGCTGTTTTTGCATTCGTTTTTACACTCATTCCTCTCAAGCTTATTCAATGTAATATGCAATGACGAAATATTGTTTGAAGCCTGGTTTTCACTAGCGATGCAAGCACAAGCGCAAACTCAAGCACAAACACAAACACATTAAGCACAAGCATATAAGCACAAGCATATAAGCACAAGCATATAAGTACAAGGATGAAAATTTTTCCCTTTTCTTGTGCTTGCGCTTATGCTTGCATTTGCTCTGCAACAAGTAAACACAGAATACCCCTCAGGCATAACACAAGCACAAGTATATTTACCACACGTGGTTATGTTTGGCCAATGAAAATTCTGGATCCAGATTACCTCGCGCTTGGTTTGGAAGGCTCTGATGATTTTGCTTGTGCTTGTGTTTACGTCGAATTTTGTTATCACTTGGGTCATCCCTTTTGCTTGTGTTTGTGCTTGCGCTTGTGCTTGTGTTGCTAGTGAAAACCAGGCTTTGTTGTCATCTCTGTTAAAATTTTGCCTTTCAGTCTTGAATTATAACAGCCCAACCAAATGTGTTTTTTACATTTGTATGGCTTTATTTGTGATTTTCTTCAATTTCCTTCAGTGAAATCTTCCAGAATTTTCACAGCATATCGCATCCTGCAGGGTACGAATTTTAAACACGACAAAAGTAGGGCTTGTTAATGCAGTTAGGAAAAACTGGTCAGACAGAATTCCCTGAAAAATGAGCTCCAACTAAAGTAAAATATTTACTACCAGTCTGCCAAATTTTTATGGAATTTCACTGAAGGAAGCACAAGAAAATTCACTGTCAGTTTCGTTTTTTGTGCCCATGTTGACGTCATAAAATATCAAAAAACATTGATATTTTCCTTTGAACACGTGCAGATTACTAAAGATTTCGTCCTCACTGCGTGCGCAATACTGGTTAGTGAAATTTACAAAAAGTGTTTATCGTGACTGATATGCCAACTGACTGAATGCAGGAATTTTCTTAACAGCAAACTGCGTAAAATAGATTAATCAACAACTTCCCATAAAACTTGTCTAAAATGAAACTCAGCTTACCCATCTCATTCCCTTCAGCATTAACAGCAGCTAGTGAATAATATAGATCCAAAGCAGTCTGAATGGTGGGATAGAAGTTTGTGAGGTAGTCTTCCATGCTCATGACAAATACACCAGCATTCTTGTTTCCATAATCTGCTACAGCCTTACAGAATGAAACAACCAATAAACATACAAATAACAATGTACATCATAAACAGAATGATGAGTATAACCTATACATGTAGTACAAATTGCTTATACAGAAGGAAATCATTACAAAATAACGTATAATTATAATTAACCGAGCTATTGTTCAGTTAATATGGCAAAGTCAAGGTTTTAGATTTTCCCATAAAGACCTCATTCTTGGTTAATACTGTAAGTAGTTATTTATCAAAAATTTAAACAACAGAACGTTGTGTACATCACAAACTTGCCATGTACATGTTATTTATTGATGTATCTATTAGTTTTTTTTAGCCTGCATGCATGAAATACAGTATACTCAGCCAGATTAATTATATTGTGCACATATGTGAATCTTTTCCCCAAATTTGTCCCATTTGCAAATTATTACTAACAGAATACTTGGACTTGTTTAATATTAAAATACAAAGTACACATTTAAATCATGTACCTGTTGGTCTTCTGTTATTACCACAAGAGGTACCACTTGGTTTAAATGATCATGGTACCAGACAGCACCAGAATAAACAGATCTGCCAAAAGGACAACAAAAATGTAAAAAAAGTGACAAAACCTGTCACCATACTGGCTATACTTACATCCAACCCTTGAAGTACCAGGAGCGATCAAGGTCACATAATAGCGGGAAATTGTCTTGAGCTCATTGGGTTCATTGTTGAAATTTATAATTCTCGAAGCTAGCACTGTCAGAAATGTATACACTCAGTCAGGTTATTTAGGAGAATTTTTCTATTGACCATGAAGCTGATATAAGGATTATTTTCAGGGCTGTCACCCGTAACACCTGCTATGGCTGAGTACACTGTATGTTTAATGGGTCCTTGATGTTACAGGTGAGCCTGCCACTAAATGATGCAATTCACTAAAATGGTAACAATTTTGTTATGCCATACAGGTGTGAAGATCAAGGCTACATGTACAAGTGACTCAAAACTTAATAACAGCCCTGATTTTAATTTTTATACAATTATTGTCAGTTATATGATTGTCTCTAATGTGTACTGATTATGTCTACATGTAAGTGTCACGGTCCTAATTTAAAAGTTGCCCACCTCCACTGCCACTTTTCTAAAGACTCCCCTGGCTCCCGAGGAACATGTGCTCCATCACAGAACTCATTGCTGAATATGATACACTGTTGCCTATTGTCATTAACAAGGCTTTTGAGCTGAGAATACAGCTTTCTTCCTCCTTGATGTTGAGTCTGAGAAAAGGTTTGATCAGTAACTCAAAGTTAACTGTACATGGCTGTTTATGTTAACATGCATGTACATGTAACTACACAATCATGAGCAAGCTAGTGTGACATAATAATTATCTAGTTTTTGTTAATATGCAAGACAAAAGAAGGCAAGTTTTCTTTTCACAAGTTTTGTCATGAAACTCATCAAGTACATGTAGTAAATGTCACTCATATGTACAACTCAGCAAACTCAGCCCTAAGGGAGTCATTTTGTTTCTTTTGTGATGTACGTTTGTGGTGCCAAGTTCAGTGCTGGAAATAATTTTCTTCTTTAACAGGACATGTGTCCTTTCAAATCTTCATTTTGGTCGGACATCTTATCAATTTGACCGGACATTAATTTCCGTAATTGATTAGCGTAATCAATTAGCATAAGAAAATGTATCAGCATACTGTAAAGATTTTCAATACAAATCGTTCAACACTGTATTCAAATTTGGTTTATTTATCACTTATGATTAACTAGATTAACGTTATACAGGGCCCCCGTTGATACCAGTCCTGCGACTGAAGGGGTCACCCTGTTTAAATATCGATTATTATTATTATTATTATTATTATTATTATTATTATTATTATTATTATTATTATTAGATCACTTTATCTACTAGATGACTGCACCAATCTCTCCTGGTTATCTCCTGATTATATGTTCTTCAAGCAAACCTAGTTTTCTACGTAGGAGCCCATTACTAGGAGTGTGCAACTTTCTCAATAGACCAATTTCAATAAATTAAAATTCAGCCTAACACAATAGACCTCAGAACGAGACTCTGAGGAATAAACCCCACAAACTCTGTAGTTATTCCCCAGAGCCTCATACTGAGGCCTATTGTTTTAGGCTGAATTTTAATCTATCGAAATTGGTCTATTATTCCTGTCCCAGTGTTTTCACAGACCAATGTACTTTTAGTTTTAATTTACCGCAAATTCAGCCCCCACAGGAACCTCAGTGACCAATCACAAGCACAGACTTTATAATTTCACTGGAAGATTAGGTTGCCATGTCCACCTGAGGCCTCCATTTTTCCCCTTACTGACGCGCGCTCATATAGACCGGAACTGACTTTTTTCGAGGGAAAAGAAGCCTAAAAATAGACCGGTCTGTAAAAATACTGTGACATAGGCTTAGTATGGGAGTTGCAGGCTCCTTATGATGGGCTCCTGCTCCTCCTATGCATACATGACGTACTCAATGCTCAAGGGTTTGCAATGCATTATAGGGTGATTTCAAACACGATCAGCCCATTTGCAAGTTTTCCGATGTGAGGGAATCCTTTACAGCAAAGCAAAAGGACACATTGCTTTCTTTTCTTATGTTGAATGATATAGAAGCAAAGATCTTTCACTATGTATTTCTGGAAGGACATAATGACTGAGAAAATAACCATTATTGTCAACACAGAGAAACATAGTCGCCATTTATGGTAGCCTGTGAACGCAGACATATTTTCGGTTGTCGACAAAACCAGAATTTTTGGTTGCCAAAGATGAAATTTTAGCCACATTGGCGACTGTACCGGTCGCAACTTCGAGCCTTTTTAACAAGTTATATAACCAAATTTTATGGATGGACAATAGGTGTTGGTGAAATGTTCAGACATCATGTCCGATCAAAATGTGAAATTGGCCTGACATATTCAAAATTTGGTCGGACAATGTCCGATGACCGACTGTTATTTCCAGCCCTGCAAGTTTCAAGAACACTGCTTCAATATTTCCAGAGATATTGTTTATTCAGTATTTTACCATTCTTAGTTGCAAACAATATGACGTCATCACTGATCTAATTTGCATAATAGAAAAACGTCAATACCTCTAAAACAAAAAAAAGATATTTCAAAAAGAAAAATGCCATTCTTCTGTATTTTGAAAGGTCTTCCAAATAAGCAGAAATTATTTTCATGTCATTTGCACTTTAAGAGCTCAAGATTAAGAAACTCCAGTTTTAGATGCCAAGATTTCAAGACTTGCAGAAAATTTGCTGAGACCCATTATTTTTCAAGGACTATTCTACAGTATTCCCCCTCCCCCCCC